ATCCAAGGCTGCGGCTTAATGTGCAATTCTCTCCATTCTGGTCCTATCAGAGTCCGCCTCTTGCTCCGTAGGCCCACACCTATAAGCAAACTTATCAAAGCAAACTTCAAGCCTCCTGCTCATCAAATTTATTTCAGTCCGGATATCGATGGCTTCTTGCATCTTGCGTTTTCTTGTACTTTCACCATACGTAGCCAGCCTTTCTATCGATTTCCATTCGATTTCGTGTCCTGTCAGTGCAATGTGTTCCGCAATTTCGGATCTTTCAGTGTTCATGTTTCTGCAGAGCCTTTGGTGTTCCTTGATTCGAGAAGCCATCGATATCCTGACCGAAAGAAATCTGACTAACAGAAGACTTGAAGAAGGCAGGATTAGTGAAAACTTTGCATAATGTCTAAGCAAACTCAGAGGAGATAAGGGAACAGCAATATCATCAAAAAGAAGACGACTGGACAAAGGTAATATTTTTAATTTTAGGTAAAGAAATTACAATAAGGCCAGAGATGAACAATCGTAACCCAAAAGAAGACGTCTATAGTAAGCCTATTCAATTCAAATAGAACGATCAGCACTCAAGAGAAAGTCATAGACTTGGCTTAAGAATAGAAGAGCAAGAGAAACGGTAATGGCCATTTCTAATTAGCTATTAGTAGATAAGTTTGTTCATAGACGTGATCCAAGAAGTTAAGGCCAGATCACGATAGTTACTCGAAGCACATACCCCACAGTGATAAGGGAATCTGCAGCGTAAAGTTACGTTGCCATGCCAATCGATAATCTAGACTTTAGGGGCTTAGTCAGTGATGCTCATGCATACGTGCTATCAAAGGCTTGAGGCAAAATGTAGAACATAACGCTTTGAGTAACATGGTTTCAAATAGGTTTAGATAAACAAGTAAGAAATTGTGATATTACAGGAGTGATACGAGGATATATGATAGGCAAATAGCCCAGGACAGAAAGAGAAATACCACAACTATTTAGCAAAACAATTGGTCAAAGGATCGACTTCACTTGACTCTTTGACGAGTTGTAGTATGATGCTAAGAATGTCAAGGCCCACTGACGATACCAGCGAAACGTCTGTGAATGTACTAAGTCCACGGTCAAACTCTAGAAATTATTATGCATACTATGGACTCCGGGCCAGGTGCGTTACTCTAGGTCTCCCTACCAATATGACTAAGTTGCGAAAACAAGGTAAAACAACTTCTAGAATTTTAAAAGAATTAATTTTAGTTCAATAACAGCTGACTTTAAGAGACTGGTCGTCAATCCGGGGCGAAGCTTCAATAAAGTGATCGAGTTCTCCGGTACTCGCTTCACGGAAGGCCGTTATACGCAATTTCCCGAATGATGAACCCTTGCCCACCGGCGATGGACGTCCTGAAGTAGCTACGCTGATACCTGCATTCATATCGGCATTAGTCCCCGTTCCAGAGCTAGACAGTCCGGAGGTCTCGGGCCGTGTGGATTGCAGAGCACGTGGCAACATTTCAGAGCGCAAAGTGGAGACACGAAGCATTCGACGGCTAAGACTACGCTTTCCAGAGCCGCGAGCTAATACGCCTACGCCTGAGTCGATATTGACGCCTGAACTGGAGCCAGAGGATAACTGGGCCAAGTCAGATTGACAGGCTGTGTAGACCTCACGAATGAGAGATTGAGTGTTAGCAAGAAATTTATCGCTGAGTTCTTTACAGAGAGAATAAATTAAAAAAGAAATCGATTAACACGAAAAAAGCAATATATTGTTTACTGTTTGTTTGGAATTATCCTATACATTATAAACCAAATGAAGTGTTAACAGTTAAAAGCTGCTTAAATTATGTTATGGGATAGAAGAGGACGTTAATCTGTACATTAAGTAGTAAGAATTGATAAACGAGGAGAAAAATAACATATCAGCCAATATTTCATGCATTAGGAAGTTTCTTTTTATAAGGAGTAGATAAGTCCTGCCATTTCGATGTGGCAGCTATTTTCGCTCTTTACATGATTCTTGACGTTAGGATTTTTCGAGTTACGAATCA